AAAAAAAAAATAATTCACATATTTTTTTTAACACAACGAAGTTCTGCAGGTCTTCGAGTATTTTCACTTGCAAATCATCGGACCTTTTTCGCTGCAATTTTTCATATTCTAGCTAAAATTTCTTTTTTACCAATATTCGTATTTGAAATCGCTTCAAATTTCCAGTTCCCGCTAGGTATAGGATGAGACAAGCAATCCCTTTTTTCATGGATGCAAAATAATGTGAAGGCGAAGTTCTCGCCTTGCCTACACGCCCTCCCCCTCTCCCTAACCGAAATTACAAAATACAAAAACAAAACGAAACATTTGATGACATTTTTCCCTAGCGTCGGGAAACGACGGTCCCATCACAGTTCGGATCTCCGACAGGGATCCGATTCTCCGTTCCCAAACTACCCTTTCCCCTACCAACTTTCTCCTCGTAGACTAAATCTACGTCAGCTCGTTCCCATGGCATCAACTCTGAAATCCTGAATTCGGAGATTGTAATGCGTGATATACATTGCAGGAACATCAGCATATAAGACGCACGTTCGACGGTTCGAGGTCCACGTATATCATCCAGTGAGTGAGCTGCGTCAACTTATCAGATTCCGTTCACCGACTGAGTGTCTCATGTCAACTAGTCCAGTCACGCTACCATCGGTGATTCGTCAATCGTTCATTTTATTCCACGCCTTTGTCTCGTATAATAAATCCTCTTTTCGCTGCTTTAGCCTAATACCTTAATTAGTTCCTTCGATCCATGGACACATTGACACGCCGTACCAAAGCAACTTTCTTTTAAGCAGTAAATGATTATAAAAAAATAAGCTACTTTTGCTTATTAAATGCTGAAAATATAACTTCTTCCTACGATTCAAAAATTTATAATCTTGAAAAGCTTTGATAAATCTTAATTTTTCAATGCTTATTTAAAGCTCACCGTGTAATCGAGAGATTTTTTCGACATATCTCATAAATAGCTTCATTATCCACCATAAATGAGCAATCAGATTGTTCAAGCGTAATGTGTGTGGTCAAAATCGAGTTATAAGGCTCAACTACAGCCGTACTGATGCGAGGAGCTGCAAACAGTGATAGAATTTCATCAAAAAATTTTTAATACACCTGAAGACTTCTGCAGGCGTATCTAAATGATGTAGTAGACCTAAGAAAAAAAAACTGGATGGAGAGCGGCATGTAAGTTTTTATGCCAAGCACCAAACATTGCCATATTTAGCCTCATCACTGTAACGTTTCGAGTTCTTAAAAATATCATAAATAACTTCGGCTTGAATTTCTTCAAACTGAGATCCCCGTTGTGTTTTGTAATTTGTGACTCCACTGATCACTCGGAATATACAAAAAAAGAAAATTTTCTCAAGTTTGTTTGTTCCACTCTTCCTTGCTGCCTCATCTTGGGCAATAAAAATACTTCGAAAATAAAACTTTATATGATGTCCTTCCTTTCAAACGTTCCATCTAAAAGTAACCATTAGAAACTGAAACTGTTTTTATACTTGCTTCTCAGAAAAGGCTAATACTAATCGAACCTGGATAAACGCTGAACTCCAGTTTGGACTTCTTGCCATATTCGATTGTCAAATCTTCCATAAGCAAAGCGGAAAATCCGCTTCCTGTGCCTCCTCCGAATGAATGGAAAATTAAAAATCCTTGAAGGCCACTGCACGATTCACTCAGACCTCAAAGAAAACAATTTTCAAAAATGTATGAAATATTCACTTCACTCAGACCTCAATAAAAAAATATATACATATATATATAATTAAAGCCCCTAATGAAATTTAGCACTTGAAAATCAAGGATCAGGACTGCCCTGTGTGTGGCTCTCATTACAGCTAGATGTCGAGCGCAGCTAGACCGGTCTTTTCTTCTAAAATTTTCACTGCCATGCCCTCTGCTCGCAGGTTTCCCACGTGCTCGTTTTTTTCACAAGCTTTGACAGTTTGTACCAAAATGAGTAGGCCTCATGACTAGTAGACTCAGCACCATGTGAGGGAAGGCAATCATTCTTGATTACAGTAAAGATTCTTGTACTATAAGCTATGATTTCCTCATTTTCACTGTTAACCGTTCAAAAATAAGAATGATATAGATTTTTTAAAAATTTTTGCTCGCTAAGCCAAAACCTCATGTCTCACCAAGATTGACTCTTAAAATACTGAGTTCCAGCTTGTTCATTTTCAAAATAGCACTAAAATTTTGATTAATTTTGAGACTTCCACACAATTCTAGAATCTTTGAAGTAAGTTAAGTGAAACTTACGTCTGATGCGATCCATGCAAACATCGATAATTTCCTTTCCAATGGTATAATGGCCTCGAGCGTAATTGTTTGCGGCGTCTTCTTTTCCAGTGATGAGTAGTTCCGGATGGAACAGTGTTTTATACGCGCCTGTTCGAATCTCATCTGCAGATATGCATATCAGTTAGGAAATACTCAGTTTATTAAAATTTATTTTTGGGACAAAGAAAATATGCTGCAGCTTGGTTGATTTCAAATTTATTCTGTTTTTGCGAAATTTATGCCAAAATTAAAAATATCGTTGGTAGTAATCGTTCTTTTGGGATGTACAGTTCTGATCAAAAAATGGAAATGGAACGCTCACCGACTACAGTTGGTTCCAGATCAATAAATACTGCTCTAGGAACATGTTTTCCTGAAATATTCCATAATTATTAATTTTCATGGTCAGATGGATGGGATCCTTTCAGATTATCAGATAAATGAAGGCCAACAAGAAGAATTGAGAGAATTAGGTAAATGAAGCCCAAACTTGCATACAAAAATCGGAGCTGTCGATCCAGCGGAGTTGTTGTTGAAGTTCTGAGCCCATTATTGAAGAGGCAACAGTTAAGTTTCCGAATATTGCTCCACAAACAAATACTCCCCAACACGCACTTTAAAATTTGAAAAAGGCAAAACTTTCTCTGCATTCACTCTCTACGAGAGCGATGGCACTCCAAAATAAAATGATAGGGTACGCAAACAGCAACCCAGCTGGCAAGAAA